GAGGCGGGTGAAGCAGGGGTGGCAGGGGTGGCGGTTGAGGCGGGGTGGCAGGTGAGGCAGATGTGGTCCCTGCCTATGGGGGTTCACGTCCTACTGGGGCCAGGGGTGAGTGCTTTGAATGGGACTGGACAGGTAGTGACTGCCACCATGGGCTGGGCTAGTGGGGTACTTAGCTCAGGGAGGGCCTCTCCCAGAGGGGAGAAGTCGACAGGCAGGTGTGGGGCCGCCCCTCCGCGTGGGCAGCGCCACCAGCCCGTGTGCCCACCACAGGTGGACGAGCTGTACGAGGACTACTGCATCCAGTGCCGCCTGCGCGACGGTGCCTCCAGCATGCAGAGGGCCTTCGCCAGGTGCCCCCCGAGCCGTGCGGCCCGAGAGAGTCTGCAGGAGCTGGGCCGCAGCCTGCACGAGTGCACCGAGGTGGGCTGGGCCAAGCTGGGCCGGGCAGCAGGGGCAGTGTAGAGCTGGGTCGGGCAGTGGGGACACCGAGAGCTGGGCCTCTGTCTGGCTGCAGGGATGGTTAGAGGCCCCCGTGGCCTAGCCCCAGGCAGCCTCCTGAGCCAACTCCGGGACTTTGCAGGACATGTGGCTCATCGAGGGGGCCCTGGAGGTTCACCTGGGCGAGTTCCACATCCGGATGAAAGGTAACAGGGCTGAGAGGGGTTGGGCGGAGGCCTTTCTGGAGGCCCTGAGACCTGCTGAGGGGCGCAGGAATTGGCTAGAATCCCAGGAGTCTGAACCCAGCCCTGGCTTTTGCATCCATGTGACATGTGACCTCTGGCAAGTCCCACCCCTCTCTGAGCCTGGTGTGAGGGCCCAGCACCCTCCTGCCCATTATCCATCATGATGGTTTTCCCCTCCCCCCATCCTCACCCCACTGAAACTGAAAACCTATACTCGGGGGACCCCCATCGAGGACGTGTGGTCCCAAGTCAGGGACCGTGGAAGGCAGAGGGGAGACTGGCCATGTCTGTGTTCCAGGCTTGGTGGGCTACGCACGCCTCTGTCCCGGAGACCACTATGAGGTACGGCCACCCTCCGGGGTCAATCCTCAGGGCTCCCCACCAGGTCTTTGGGGGACGGGAGCTGCTGGGAACCAGGGTTGCAGGTGGGGCTCTGTCTGGCAGGGAGGGCCCTGGGCGGGCAGCAACGGGACACCCATCTGGGCTGACGCGGCCCCTCTCGGGCTGGTTCACAGGTGCTCATGCGTCTGGGCCGCCAGCGCTGGAAGCTCAAGGGTCGGATCGAGTCAGATGACAGTCAGACCTGGGATGAAGAGGAGAAGGCCTTCGTTCCCACGCTGCATGAGAACCTGGACATCAAGGTGGGGATGGGGCCTGGGGGCGGGGCTGGGGTGCCTGGGTGCTCAGCTCAGACACCACCCTCCAGCCTCCACCCCTAGGTGATGGAGCTTCGGGGCCTGGGCTCGCTGGCTGTGGGCGCAGTGACGTGTGACATCGCCGACTTCTTCACGACACGACCGCAGGTCATCGTGGTGGACATCACAGAGCTGGGTACCATCAAGTTGCAGCTGGAGGTGCAGTGGAAGTGAGTCCCGCCCAGCCTGGGGACAGCGGAGGCCTGGCCGGCTGCCCCTGGTGGCCTGACCACACTCTGGCCCTGGGTTCCTGCACCAGCCTCCACCGAGGGTGTCCCCGCCCTCACGGGTCCTCATCTGTCCCTCACTCCTGCCCCTCAGTCAGGTCGAGGCCTGGACCTTCTCTGCAGCCCCTTCCTGCCTTTCCGGTTTTGCTTCCATTCTTGCTTCTGAACCCGACTACTAAAGCCTCAGGGAAGTTTGCGGGGGACACTTTCCAGGGCCTCCACGCTTGGCTCCTTGAAGGAGGCTCACCTCTCCAGGGAGGCCCTCCTTGCTGCTCCCACCCCCTCATTCCTGGCCGACCCTGGCTGCCCCCCAGGCCCAGGGCTAAGCGGTCACTTGCATCCCCTTCTCGGCTGCAGACCCATGAAGCCCACGTCCGTGAGATCATCCCCTGGAGCCCATGAGCGTGCCCATGAGCGTGCCCGTGAGCGTGGTGGGCTCCAGAGCTCTTTGTTCTAAGGAAGCCTTGCATTTCCAAGGCGTTCCCTTCCTCCTCCTTGGTACAGGGGCAGCAGGAGGGAGGGCTGAGGAGCCTCATCTGCTCTGTGCTTGCTCTGGCCAGTCAGGGCTGGTCTCTCTCCTCTCTCCCTAGGGTGGGTGTCTGAGCTGGGGGTCACAGAGCTGCTGCCCTCTTCCCCCGTGAACTGGGTGAATTCTGGTGAGCGACCACCTGCACCCTCAGGGTCCTCACCTCTCTGGTAGGGCTGAGAATACCTCTTGCCCAGGGGCCCCTGAAGTGTACAGGGTGGTGGGCAGCTCAATGCCATCCAAGCCTAGGACCCAGGGCGCCTGCGGGTCTGCAGATACCCCAGGCAGAGAAGCGGGCACTTGCAGAGCCTCTGAGCTATAGGACTTCTGGTCAGGCCAGGCCCAGGTGCCACGAGCCAGGCCTTTGTGCAGATAATTACGAGCAAGTTTCTTTGAGGCAGGAGGGTCTAAGGGGACCTACCTGCTCCGAGTGCAGGGCTGGACACAGGCCAGGCTGAGCATGACTTGCCTCGGTGCTCCCATGCGCTCACCTGGCTTCCCAGCCTTCCCTGTGCATGTTCCACATGGAGGTTCTTCTGTAAGGGCGCCCCTTTTACAGACGAGGGGTCTGAACTGAGTGTCCCCTGCTCATTGGCTGAGCTTCTTAAAGGGGCCTCTAACTGGGGGTGTCCAGTTGTTATTGGTGGAGGGTCTTGACAATGAATTGTCCAGGTCCTTGGCGTTTTGAACAAAATGTACAAAAGTAGCAGAGGAATGAAATGCAGGAATGAAGCAGCAGGGCTTTATTAAAGCAAGAAAGCAGGTTGGGCGCGGTGGCTCACGCCTGTAATCCCAGCACTTTGGGAGGCCTAGGTGGGCAGATCACCCAAGGTCAGGAGTTTGAGACCAGCCTGGCCAACAAGGCGAAAGCCCGTCTCTACTAAAAACACAAAAATTAGCCAGGTGTGGTGGTGCGGGCCTGTAGTTTCAGCTACTTGAGAGGCTGAGGCAGGAGAACTGCTTGAACGTGGAAGGCAGAGGCTGCAGTGAGCCAAGATGGCACCACTACACTCCAGCCTGGGCGATAGAGCAAGACTGTCTCAGACAAAAAAAAAAAAAAAGAAGGCAAGAAAGCACTCTGCAGGGTGGGAGTGGGCCCAAGCATGTGGCTCAAGGGCCTGGTTACAAAGTTTCTGGGCTTTAAGTACCCCATTTGAGGTTCCTATGGGCTGCCCCTTGTCTGGATAAAGGATTTGGTCTGTGGTTAGAGGCTGAGGTGGATGGCACCCTATGTAGATAGAGGGATGGTCCTTGTTTTGCCCGTAGCCCATCCAAGGCATCCTCCCTTTCCATCTGGGCCGTGTGGAGGTGGGAGGGCTGTGGGGAGCGTTTCTTTTGATCCTTCAGTGTGGGGAGACGGGATTTTTCCTTTTGGGTTAGCTTTAGGAAGATTGCGTTAATTGGCAATTCTCTGTCCCTTCAGACCTTGGTGTCCTTCCTTGATTTAGCATACATTGGCCTGAGGTTTCTGCCTCCAGATCCTGCTCTCCTGCTCCTAGTCATTGTCCCTCACCATCTGGCTCAGGGCCCTCAGGGTGGTCAGAGGCTGAGAAATTTTTTTTTTTTTTTTTTTTTTGAGACAGAGTCTCGCTCTGTCGCCCAGGCTGGAGTGCAATGGCGTGATCTCGGCTCACTACAACATCTGCCTCCCAGATTTAGGCAATTCCCCAGCCTCAGCCTCTCAAGTAGCTGGGATCACAGCTGCCCGCCACCATGCCCAGCTAATTTTTTTGTATTTTTAGGAGAGATGGGGTTTCGCCATGTTGGCCAGACTGGTCTCAAACTCCTGACCTCAGGCGATCCACCCGCCTTAGCCTCCCAAAGTGCTGGATGACAGGCGTGAGCCAGTGTGCCCGGCCTTGAGAAACATTTCTAAAGGGGTCGAGGCCATGTAACTTGGAGTTCCTAGGCTGCATCTGTGACCATGTGCAAGGCCCTGGCCTTGGAGACCCAGGCCTCCATTTCCTGTTTTTTTTTTGAGATAGAATCTCGCTCTGTTGCCCAGACTGGAGAGCAGTGGCATGATCTCGGCTCACTGCAGCCTCCACCTCCCAGGCTCAAGTGCTTCTCCCACCTCTGCCTCCTGAGTAGCTGGGACTACAAGCGTGCATCGGTCACCACGTTAGCCCAGCTCATGTATTCATTTTTTGTAGAGATGGGGGTTTTGCCAGGTTACCTAGGCTGGTCTCGAACTCCTGAGCTCAAGTGATCTGGCTGCCTTGGCTTCCCAAAGTGTTGGGATTACAGGTGTGAGCCACCGCACCCGGCCCATTTCCTCTTAAATCCGTTAAGTACAGTGATGTCTGAAGAGTAGCCAAAGCCTTTAGTGATCTTTAAGGCTTTGGAGTCAGAGAAATCTCTGTGTGAATTCAGTTCCATCTCGTGTGGCTGGTTGTGACACTGCCCTAAGCAAGTCACCTATCTCTCAGAGCCTTCCTTTCCTCCCCTGTAAATAATTTTCCAGGCCACAGAGGGCTGTCACTGGGGGTGGAAATAAGGGTTTGTGTAAAGTGTTTAGTAGAGGCTGGGCTCAGTGGCTCACGGCCTATAGCCCAGCACTTTGGGAGGCTGAGGCAGGCGGATTGCTTGAGCCCAGGAGTTCGAGACCAGCCTGGGCAACATGGTGAGACCCTGTCTTTACAAAAAATAAAAATCAATTTAAAAATTAGTCCGGCATGGTGGTACATGCCTGTGGTCATAGCTACACAGGAGGCTGAGGCAGGAGGATCACTTGAACCCAGGAGTTCAAGGATGCAGTGAGCTGTGATGGCACCACTGCACTCTAGCCTGGGAATCAGAGCAAGACCCTGTCTCAAAAAACAGTTTAGAGCAGAGTTCCTTGCACACCATCCATGCTATTATATTGTAAGATGAAGACCATCTACCTGTGTAACCTGTGTAACCTGGGCCGTCTGGGCCTGAGATGGCCTCTGGGCACTGATGGCATCCTGGCCTTCTGTTCTCTCCTCCAGCCCGTTTGATACTGAGAGCTTCCTGGTGTCACCCAGCCCCATAGGCAAGTTTTCTGTGGGCAGCAGGAAGGGCTCCTTGTACAACTGGACACCCCCGAGCACCCCCAGCTTCCGGGAGAGATACTACCTGGTGAGTGGGCCTTCCCCGGGCAGGGCTGCTGTGGTCACCCTGGGATGGGGGCAGCACGCGGGGGCTGGGCTGAGCAGTCTGGCCCTCCCAGACATGGCAAGCCTCAGGCTCAGCCTCCGTTTGGGGTGATCCTGGGTGTTCTCTTGTGCGCTTTCTTCCTCTGCTGCTAGCCTCCATCCCAGCCTGGGTTCTGGGCTTGGCTGGTTCTTCAGAACATCTGCAATGGGCTCTCTGGATGGTTCTACCACCCCAGCCATGGCCTTGGCCTTAACATATACGTTTCTAATATTACTTGACAGAGTGCCTAGTAAAACATCTCTTTCCCGTGATCTCCATGGATCAGGGTCCCCTCCTTAATGCCAACTCCTGTAATCAGTTTCTTCCATATTCTTTCAGAGATAGCAATCCATCTACTAGCAAGTGTATGCACCTCTTTCTTTCTTTTTTTTTTTTTGAGATGAAGTTTCGCTCTTGTTGCCCAGGCTGGAGTGCAGTGGCGCAATCTGCAAGCTCCGCCTCCCGGGTTCACCCATTCTCCTGCCTCAGCCTCCCGAGTAGCTGGGACTACAGGCGCCCGCCACCTCACCTGGCTAGTTTTTTGTATTTTTTAGTAGAGATGGGGTTTCACTGTGTTAGCCAGGATGGTCTCGATCTCCTGACCTCATGATCAGCCCGTCTCGGCCTCCCAAAGTGCTAGGATTACAGGCTTGAGCCACCGTGCCCGGCCTCTTTTTTGTATTTGAGTCAGCATGCACATGTGTCACATACTTGTATTTTGAAAAATTACACCCGATTTACATAAAAATGTTAATGCCGCAATAATGTAATCATTTTAAACATCTTTGAGGAACTTTTCTTTTTTTGGCAAATCAATTCACAGAACAATGCAAATTGATTACAGATCGTGGTTTTTAGTTTGACTTTCTGGAGAGAAATTACACACACATTTATGCAAATCTATGTGTATATGAATACATGTATGATGCTGGGCGCGGTGGCTCACGTCTGTAATCCCAGCACTTTGGAAGGCCAAGGCAGGTGGATTGCTTGAGGCTAGGAGTTCAAGAGAAGCCTGGCCAACATGGCAAAACCCCATTTCTACTAAAAAGACAAAAAAATTAGCCAAGCGTGGTAGGGTGTGCCTGTAGTCCCAGCTACTTGGGAGGCTGAGGCAGGAGAATCACTTGAACCTGGGAGGCGGAGGCTACAGTGAGCCAAGATCGCACCAATGCACTCCAGCCTGGGCAACAGAGCAAGACTCTGTCTCAAAAGAAAAAAAAAATCGTGTGAGTGCATACATACACACACACACACACGATTTATCCTCATTCTTCGTGAGTCTCCCGCCTCAGCCTCCCGAAGTATTGGGATTACAGGCTTGAGCCACCGCGCCCGGCCTTTTTTTTTTTTTTTGAGATGAAGTTTCGCTCTTGTTGCCCAGGCTGGAGTGCAGTGGCGCAATCTCAGCTCACTGCAATATCCGCCTCCTGGGTTCAAGCGATTTTCCTGCCTCAGCCTCCTGAGTAGCTGGGATTATAGGCACACACCACCACATCCGGCTAATTTTTGTATATTTTTAGTAGAGATGGGGTTTTACCATCTTAGCATCTTAGCCAGGCTGGTCTCGAACTCCTGACATCAGGTGATCCACCCACCTCAGCCTCCCAAAGTGCTGGGATTACAGGCATGAGCCACCGTGCCCAGCCCTCTCTGGACTTCAATTTCTGTATCAGAGAAGTGAGAATAACAGCACTGCCCTTATGGGATTGTTGTGAGAGTTAACTGAGTTAATGAACACCAACCATTATCATTGGTTCAGCTGATGAGAGAGAAGCGTTCGTGTCCATGTACCCAGATTCACACTGTGGCACTGTATTCACCACCCGTGTGGCCTGAGGACCTCTCCAAGGTCAGGGCAGTGCCACCCCCATGGGGTGTGGTGAGGGTAATGCGAAGGCCCTAGAGAAGGGCCGGCAACCTCAGAATGCTTAATGACAGTTGCTGCTGTTTCTGTGGTGTGTATATCGGGCCCTTCATTCATTCATTCGTTCATTCATTCATTCACTTCACTCATTCAAAACTAGGCTGGGTGCAGTGGCTCATGCCTGTAATCCCAGTACTTTGAGAGGCTGAGGCAAGTGGATCACCTGAGGTCAGGAGTTTGAGACCAGCCAGGCCAACATGGTGAAACTCCATCTCTACTAAAAATACAAAAATTAGCCAGGTGTGGTGAGGTGCCACTGTAATCCCAGCTACTCGGTAGACTGAGGCAGGAGAATTGCTTGATCCCGGGAGACAGAGGTTGTAGTGAGCTGAGATAGTGCCACTGCACTCCAGCCTGGGCAACAGAGCGAGACTATTTCAAAACAAAAAAAATGAAATTATATGCTAGGCAAAGACTGTGCCCTCAGGGAGCTGAAATTCTACAGGGGAAATAGATGATACCAAAATCCGACAAGTGCACAGTCAGCCCAGGGGCGTAAGGACTGTGGGAGACAGCAGGAAGGGAAGGGGCCCACTGGGGCCAGGTGGAAGTTGCCGCTTAAAAAAGGCTGTCCAGGGCGGGTTCTCAGGAGAGGTGACACCTAAGTAAGGTCCTGAGGAGGCGAGGGCACAAGCCATGAAGGCACATGGGGAAGAGTGGCCAGAGCACAGTCAGTGCAAAGGTTCTGAGGCAGGCACATGGGGCCCAGCCCACAGGGCATGAGCAACAGTCAGGAGGCTGCTGGGAGTGAGTTGGAGGCGGAATGGGGGATAAGTGCAGAGAGGGGACAGGGTCTTGTCTGCACCTCTGGGATGCTGGTCGCCTGGGCAGGCCTCAGTCATCCTGAGAACACGGGCATGCGGAGCAGGTGTTTGTCAGGGGAAGCCCCTCTGGGGGACTTGCTGTGGTCCCTGGGGTGGCTGGTGAGGCCACTCCTGTGTCCCCTCTCCAGTCTGTTCTACAGCAGCCAACACAGCAGGCCTTGCTACTCGGTGGCCCAAGAGCCACCTCCATCCTCAGCTACCTGTCTGACAGCGACCTCCGGGGTCCCAGCCTAAGAAGCCAGAGTCAGGAGCTGCCTGAGATGGACTCCTTCAGCTCTGAGGACCCCCGTGACACGGAGACCAGCACGTCAGCGTCCACCTCAGATGCGGGCTTCCTGCCGTTGGCCATCGGCCCCCACGCCTCCATTGAAGAGGAGGCCCGGGAGGACCCCCTGTCCCCAGGTCTCCTGCCAGAGATGGCCCACCTCTCGGGAGGCCCATTTGCAGAGCAGCCCGGCTGGAGGAACCTAGGAGTGGAGAGCCCCAGCCTGCCACAGGGCTCCCTGTTCCACAATGGCACAGCCCCAAGTAGCCAGAAAGGCCATGAGGAAGGGGCAACCGGGGACAGAGAGGAGGGACCTGGCGTGGCCCTTGAGGGGCCTCTGCAGGAGGTCCTGGAGTTGCTGAGGCCCACGGACTCCACCCAGCCCCAGCTCCGGGAGCTGGAGTACCAGGTCCTAGGTTTCCGGGACCGGCTGAAGGTATGCCCACCCCACCCTGGGCGGCGGCCCTGCTTTGCTGATGGCATGGTGACTGGGAGTGGGCTCTGGGGCCACACAGCCTGGGCCGGCATCCTGGCCTCATCCCTGCGTGACCTGGGTAGGCCATGTCTCTGTGAGCCTTGGTTTCCTCATCCGGCAAGTGGGGATAACAACAGGCTTCATGGGGCTCAGGAAGAGTCTAAGAGTTCAGAGTAACAGCTCAGCACATCCAGCCAGAACCTGGCCCGTCTCTCACCTTCTGACCTGGGTGGGTGGGGCTGTGACTCGTGGCTACAAACCCAAACTTGGAGTGTTGTCAGGGTCAGAGCTGGCTCCGTGGAAGGCCCGACACAGTTCCGCTTGCCTCATCCACGCACTCTGCACCGAACCTTCTCCTCCACAGGACTCATACCCCAGGGCGTTCTCAGTTCACAGGAGGGCTTAGGTGGCAGGTGGCTTTCAGAGGCGCTGACCTGGGCAAATTATTATATTCCCCTCTTGTGTTTACACAAATTTGAATGTACATAAAATGTATACCACTAGTACCTATTAATACATCTATTAACTTAAGGGCGTCCTTCCCTGGACAACCTCTTTTATTTTTTATGTATTTATTTTTTGAGACGGAGTCTCACTCTGTTGCCCAGGTTGGAGTGTAGTGGTGCAATCTCGGCTCACTGCAACCTCCTCCTCCCAGGTTCAAGCGATTCTCCTGCCTCAGCCTCCCAAGTAGCATGGATTACAGGTGCACACCACCACGCCTGGCTAATTTGTGTATTTTTAGTAGAGATGGGGTTTCGCCATGTTGGCCAGGCTGGTCTCAAACTCCTGACCTCAAGTGATCCCCCTGCCTCAGCCTCCCACAGTGCCGGGATTACAGGCATGAGCCACTGCACCCGGCCTGGACACCTTCTTTTAAATGGCAACTCCCACCAGGCCCTGGCAAGCCCATCCCTTCCTGCTCTGTGTTCCCGCGGTCCTTATGCCCTCAGATTGGCTGTGCACTTCTCTGATTTTGCTGTTTTCTGTTTTCCCCTCTTTTGTGTAAGACACACTTTGGCACTGAAATAGTTAACAGCTCTCTTCAAACACATTTTATCGCTACCCACACCTCCAACAGGACAAACCAGCACAGGAGAAACAAGTTTCATTTCTCACTTTATATCCATAACTTTAAAAATATGTTCCGTTTACCACTGCTATGGTTGTTAAAAAGGACCTGCCTAAAATTTCCAGAAAAAAATTTAAGAAATAATGTCACCTTTTTTGGTATTTTATGTTTTTCATTTTTCTTGAGACAGGGTCTCACTGTGTTGCCCAGGCTGGAGTACAGTGG